TTTTGTTAACTTTAGGGTTAGAGCAAAACTCTGAAATATATATAGATAGATTAGATCTTAGTTTGTTTATTTTTAATCTTTTTTGTACAGATTATTTTTATTTATAGTAATTAGTTTGCTTATTTTTAGCTTTTTTTTCTGCAGATATTTCTATATTTAGTAATTTTTGTAAAACCTTACTTCTCCAGAGTTTTGTTAGAGCCCATGTTGAGTTAGAGTTAGAGTAGTTTTTATAGAAAAATTACTCTTCTAACATTTTTTGTTAATATTGCAAGGTAGGTTTAAATTATAGTTTTTTCTATTTTTTACATATTTCTTTTTTTTCACTTGTTTTGCTTTGTCAAGCTAATCTGGAATCAACAAATTTTAACAATTTGATTGGTTAATTATAATGTAATCTACCCACTTTAAGAGACTTCTATATATGGTAATATATATATAGCTCCTAATTGGTATATAGATTATGAATTAAATAAAAAATAATTATCAAATTTGGTTTGGTGGTTGTTGAGATATCTTCACTTAAAGTTTAAAGAAATTTTAGTATAATTTGTTTTAATAAATAGTTTAATTTTTTAAAACTTTGTATAAAAATATTTTGGCAACTACTAAGTTAATTTTAATAAGCTTTTTTTTGGTTCAATTTTATAAATCCATCAAATTTTGCCTAGTAGTTATCTTTGTGCAAGTTTAAAAAAATTTTAATTTGCAAAAAAGATAAATAATAAATTTGAAAAAAAATAACTTCTTTTATATATGCTATTGTATATATAAAATATATTTTATATTATTAATATTTTTAATTTTATTTAAAAAATTGTAAATACTTTTCAAAATTTAAGGCAAATTTGTCTAGAATACAGTTTAAGAAATAATATATAAAAATAACTATTTGAACTAATTTAATAAATAATTAGGGTTAGATAAGGGTTATTGTTTAAATTAGAGTTAGATTAGAGTTAGGTTAGAGTTAGATTAGAGTTAGGATTAGAATTTTATATTGAGGATTGCTATTTTATACTAGATGTATATACATATATTGATATTTCAAAATCCTGATTATATAATAGCTTTTGGAGTTCTAACAAAAAATATTCTATGTAAAATTTTAGTATATATTATAACCTCAACTAACTCTAAAGCTACTCTTACCCTAACCTTAAGTTTTACTAATTTTTCATTTACAATTTATATGTTAAGCAAATTCGTAAATCGATGTGTGTATGGTGTAAATTAAAAAATTTTCTTTTATATTATAATCTTATATAATATTTCTATATTGTGTCACCTATACTAAATGAGATCCATATATCTTTTTAACTAACAATATACAAACTTTAACTAATATCTTTTTTTTGTAAAAAAAATTATTTAATTTCTTACATAGATTTTTTATTATAAAATAACACTATATAGTTAATTTGATTATTTTTTGATATTTGATATCATATTATGAGTTGATCGTATTACAATGGTCTATAAATGTACCCTCTATAAATGCACAACTTCTTTAAATGCACGCTAAACCTCTGGCCTAAATATATGCATGACCTCTATAAATGCACCTTTTCTTATTGTTCTCTAAATGCACGTTGTTAAAGTTCAGTCGCATCTATAGAGGTTTCACTGTAGTATTTATGTATTGGTCGATTATTTGTGTATCTATGTTATTTTATCATTCACTTAATTTAAAATATTTGTATTTGCATTTCCAACAAGTGATGTAGCTCAAAACATTTGAGACATCCTGTATTAAATAAAGCTTCGGAAGCTGAATTTAAACGGTCGGTTGCTGAATAATTTGTGGAGTTTAAATAGTCGTCAACTGGCTTTAATTTATTTAGGTAAGTACTAGCATAGACATATATATAATATGACTTGACTATTTATCTTAAAAAACCTCTTTGGTATATATCCAAGTACTTTGTTTATTATGTAAATTTATGTACCTTCAAAGTTCGGAATGAATAGTGGGGAAACGAATTATAATTGTTGTCGTTGGATCACCTACATATGGTTTGAAGATTTGTGTAATAGTTTTAGTGTCCGTTTTATTATCGCAAGTCACAATGTAGTTACCACCCTCATTTTTAACTCTATTTTCTATTGATTTCATTTGAATGTTCATTTTCTTAGAACATGACATACAATTTATACAGTTTCCAGGTCCACCCAAAGACTTTGCGATCTCATGGCATTGTTCATCTCCCTTTCTGGCGCAATTACAAGATGATTTGAGTATGTCCCCTTGTTTAATTTTTTTCGCTTTAGCTTTAATTTCAAAATAACAATCATCAACATTAATCTTTCCCTTATAACCATTTTGCGAAACAGTAAGTCCACCTTTAACTTCCTTCCATATGATCTTGTTTACATGTAAAGGACATTTATCTTTTGAAATACATGTTCTTATATTATGCCCCCCTTCTCCACAACAACTGCATGCACTCTCAATTAAAGGAATAAAAACAAAAATCACTAAAAACAAAAAAGAATAAACAAAGGCTCGTGACAAAATCATACTGGGTTTTGTGAATCTATATCAGTAACGATGTTAGAAGTGTTGAGAATTACATTATCGGACAAAGAACTCCGCATTTAAGCTGTATAATGTTACATGACTATCTGTATGTTGTATATCTGTATTATTGAAATATCCAAAAAAGTAAATTAAATGCTTCTGTCGTTTCCAGTTAACTATTTTTTTATGTTTTAACTTTGTATTTGAAATAGAAAGTCGAAAGTAGAAATATGTAGTCAGTCGATACTTTAATCGATTATATACAATATATGGATCGATGCTTTGATCGGTCATAATGCAATCGGTCGTGTTACTTTGTTCCCGGTGTTTTGTAATCTAAGAATATTATGTAAATTTTGGATAACCATCAAATCTAACTACGAGCATCTAACGTGAAATTATAATTTGTGACTCTGATTTAGTGCTTCTATTCGCATGAAAAAAATTTGTATCAATCACTCGTCACATGATAATATTGCGTCAAATCGAATTTTCACTTTGGAAAAAATATAAAAAATATCGATTCAAAGTTTAAATAGAGATAATTTTGAATCATACAAAGATTTGGAATTCGAAACCGCCCTATCACGGTTAGTCTGAAAATATCTTTGGCTGAACTTTACTGCCCAAGTATTTAATCATTTGATCTTAGGAGTGACCCAAAAAATTGCCGTGTTACCTTTAGTAACATAGTTGCCGGATTCTCGATTTTGATTGGCTAACGACAGTGATCTGCATAATTGTTAAGGTAAAATTGGCGATTTCGAAAATTCCGAGTAATTCCAACTTAATTTTTTGATCGTCACTCTTAGCTTCTGCCGGCTGAGACGTTCATTGTTAAAAAATTCTGTGCCCGGTTATACATTTGCCGATCATCATTGACAATAATGCCTGTATTCCTTAATTAAGAGACGGGTTAAAGAACGCGAGGTGGATAAACGCTTACGTGTGTATGTCAATGAGGTAGAATGTTTTAGAAGCTTTTATCAATGACTTCAACGAGAATTGTGTATTAGTATAGTTTCCTGGCAGTCATTATTAGTGAATTCATTCCACGCGTCTAATCTTGGCCGCGGGACTTTAACATGCGTATAAGACCTTCCTATTCGAAGGTTAGATTACGCTCCCATTTATGAATAAAAATTTCTGTGCGATTCATATAAATTATTGTCTTGTCTGTTATTATACTTGCTGAGTGCTCGTATCACATCTATATTTCATACACTTATTTATTTTTGCATATTGTCTCGGCGTTACATTACTACTTATCATATTAATTTTAGTATGCAAGCTTGTTTGACTGCTATATTATCATGTGATGAATTATCAAGCTTATTAAAATCTAACCATTAATACCATTAATAATAAATTCGAAATTAATGATTTATTATTGATAATACTCTAGGAACACTACTAATAATACTTCGTATGCGCTAATAAAAAATTTGGTATAATGATTTTTAGTAAAGTGGCTTTGAGAATTATACGTACCAGAACTATAACTCTAATTTAGCAATTTAATTAAAAAACGTCTTTGCAACTTTAATTAGAAATGCTAAAACGGCTTATAAAATTTAAAGCAATATAATATAACTATATGTATGCTGTAATTTGTATCTAGGTGGTATGATAAAAGATTAGGGTGAGACATCAACTATTTAATCAAACTATGTAATTTTACATATCACGGATTTTTATATTACACAAACAACTTTTTTATTCAAATTCGAATTGTGTTATAACAATAATAATAATGCTAATGTGCAAATTTAATATAATGACAATAATAATACAAAAAAATTCAAAACGATTCAACTACTTGTCAAGGCATCAAATTGTTTATAATATGCTAGAAAATAAAACAATGTTGATAATTTTCTGTCAACATACAAGTTTTGGGGCATTCGTCTTATAGAATATCTTAAATTTTATTGATTTAGAGTAAAAAAAATTATCTTGAAACCTTAAGTTAAAGCTTTCGCAAAAAATTCAACATTAAACCTTCGAGATAATTCTAGTGAATGCTCTTCGTTCAAAAAAAATTCGAAAAATAAGTACATTTTTCGTTTGAATCTTTTAGAAATTTGCATATTTTTGATATAAAAATAATATTCAATTTATTACTACTAATTTCTCTAGATATTAGTAAATTGATCAATGTTGCTAACATAGTTTTGATTACTTAGTTGATGTCCTACCCTAGTAAAAGAAAGACCATCATTTGGGATTAGTAAAGGCAAATCATCATTGTTGTCATTTGAGATTAGTAAATTGGTCCAATCATTTAATGTCGTTGTTTGAGTTAAAGGTAGGTATTCTACAGGTTCTAAAGTGCTCAAATTATCATAGGAATACGACCCGTTCAACAAGTCAATGTAATCTGACATTAGAGTTTGGGGAAAATCGATTCCGGTGGGTTGGATGCTAGTTCCTGTAGATTTGATTTTTTGAGAGCTATGAGAGACAATAGTTTATGTCGATTTAACTAGCAAATCCTTTTTTTTATATATAAAGCGAATATGAATATTAATTAATACCTATAAGTTTGATCAACAGCTTCATACGATTTTGTCATGTCATCTAATAAAGCTATTTATTGTATAGAGGAATATTGAAAATTAAACAACCAAAAACAACCGGACTCTCTTACAGTCACCTATACAATCACACAAGATTAGGATACCCTATTAAAAAACCCTCTACATAGTTACAAAAATTTTATAATCACGTTTTTTGATAATAAACCTATTTTACCACGATTACAGATAGTTGTCATATGTAAAAGTCAAAATTTTACTAAGTAAACTGACTTAATAAATTTGTTTAGAACAAAATATGCTTATTCTGACATTTTATCATTTTACGCTTCTTCGAAAAAAATTAATTTTTTTATTGTGGAAGCGTAAAATGATAAACCGATTAATAAATGCCATCCTTATTCTTCTAAACAACTTTACTTATTGCACAAAAATCGATTTATTTGGTACAATTTTGATTTTTATGCATGGCAACTATCTGCGATCGTATATAAAAATTATATAGGTTACCTCTTTTTATATTTTATATGATGTGATTATATAGAAGTATATATAAAGTAACACTTCTATATTATAACCAGATAGGTATGTGCCCAACTGCGTAGGATGACTGTATTTAAAATATAAGGTAAGTATTCCTAATTTGACGCAGGTCCTAATTTGACGCATTCACGATATCTCGCGTTCTAGTGATTGTAA